TGTTGGATATTTTAGTGGTTTCCTGTAGCAAAAGGCTGTCATTGTGTGTCGCCAATGGTTTTTGGGGAGCTACAGGCTTTCGTGCAGCCTCCTGGGGCCTCCGTGCGGACTGGGCTGGGGTGACCCTATGGCTTTTCATGTGTCTTCCCAGGGCCTCCATGTGCACTTGGCTGGGGAGGCCCACGGGCTTTCATGCGGCCTCCCCGTAAACACAAGGCCAGAGGAATCCTATGGGCTTTCATGCAGCCTTCTGTTCCGGATGGACTCAGGATTCGGCAATAATCACGCAGAACGAGATGGCTACATCGAGCATTTATTCAGGTGAAAGCACATAAAAGCAGCGAAGTATGGATAACTACTCACAAGGTGACACCTGCCAGTGGGATACTGGACCTGAACATCCTCTCAAGCTGGCAGATCAGAGAGAGAATTGCTGACCGGCTCCTGCAGAGACAGCGTAGGTCTCAGAGTTAGGAGTTTCTCCTCCCCGCTGCTCTCTCCGCACTGTCCCCTTTATGCTCGATGCATCCTGGCACACAGGGTCATTATGACCCAGGAGGCAGGCCAGGGGGGCAAACTCTGCCTTCAGTTGTGCAACTCTTCCTCCCTGGGTGCGCAGGCGCCCATACCAGTGGGGAGTCCCAGCCCTCAATTCGAGGGTCCTGCCTTCCTCCTCTTCTTCCTCATTTCCGGGTGTTTGGTCTCCAAAGCTAGTTTGGAGGATGTCTGTGGTTAAGTTGGCTACAAGCCTGGTTGAGCGGCCGGCTTCAACAGGTTTTTGGAAGGGGCTGCCTGTGAACTGGGCTGAGCAGCTGCATCCACACTCCTTATTGCTCAGCCTAGACAGGCAAACATCTTTGTTCTCAAGATCTGGCCTCTGCTTCCAACAGGAGATTTTTATGACTCTACAGATCATAGAAATTTCCATCTCCAATACACCTTCCGAGGCCTCCGTGGACACAGAGCTGGGGGAGGGCCCTACGAGTTTTTGTGTGGCCTCCTGGACCCTATGTGTGCATTGGGTTGGCGGGGCACTACGGACTTTCATGTGGCCTCCCAGTACCTCCATGTGCACTGGGCTGGGGGCCCCTATGGCCTTTCATGTGGCCTCCCGGGGCCTCTGTGCAAACACGGCTGGGGGTCCCTGCAGGCTTGGGTGCAGCCTCCCAGGAACTCCGTGTGCACGGAGCCGGGGGGGTTCCTATGGGCTTTCGTGCGGCCTCCTGGGGCCTCCATGTGCCCAGGGCCGGGCGGGGGGGGGCGGACGTATGGGCTTTCATGTGGCCTCCCAGGGCCTCCGTGCTCGTGGAGCCAGGGGGCCTATGGCATTTTATGTGGCCTCCGGGGGCCTCTGTGCGCGTGTGGGGCCAGGGCACCCTATGAGCTTTGGTCCAGCCTCCTGCGACCTCTGTGCGCACTGGGCTGGGGGGGCTCTATGGGTTTATGTGCAGCCTCTACGCACACTGGGCCAGGGGAGCCCTACAGGCTTTTGTGTGGCCTCCCAGGGCCTCCATGTGCCCAGGGCTGGGGGCGGCCGTATGGGCTTTTGTGCCATCTCCAGGGGTCTCCATGCGCAAGGGGTGCGGGGGCAACCTACGGGCTTCGTGTGGCCTCCTTGGGGCCTCCTAGCGTACTGGGTTGAGGGGGGCACTATGGGGTTTTGGGCGCTGTCCCAGGGCCTCCCTGCACACAGGCCCTGAAGGGACCATACAGGCTTTCACGTGGCCTCCCAGCGTTTTGGGGTGCAAGGGATCGGCAAGGCCATAGTGGCTATCATTCAGTCCTGGGCCTGGGGCCTCCATCTGCACTGGGCCAGGGGGGCCCTATGGGCTTTCATGCAGCATCCTGGGGTTTCCATGCTCACAGGTCCAGGGATAACCTACAGGCTTTCCTGTGGCCTCAAGGAGCCACCATGAGCACATGACTGGGGCGTCCCTAGTGGTATTTGTGTGGCCTCCTGAGGCCTCAGCGCACAGTGGGCCGGAGAGGGGGCCAAAGGGGCTTTCATGTGGCCTCCTGGGGCCTCTGTGCGCATGGGGCTGGAAGGACCCTACGGGTTTTCCTGTGGCCTCCCGGGGCCTCCGTGTGCACTGGGCCGGGGGAGCCCCATGAGATTTCTTGCGGCCTCTGCGCACTCTGTGCACATGGGGACAGGGAGGCCCTACAGGATTTCGTGGGGCCTTGCAGGGCCTCTGTGTGCATGGGGTAGCAGGGGCCCTGTGGGATTTCCTTCTGCCTCCAGGGGCCTCTGTGTGCACTGGGCTGGGGCGGCCCTACAGGGTTTCTTGCAGCCTCCTGGGGTCTCTGTGCGCACTGGGCCTGGGGGCCTACGGGCTTTCGTGCCACCACTTGGGTCCTCCGTGCACACTGGGCTGAGGGGGGCCCTACGGATTTTTATGCGGCTTCTGGGACGTCCGTGCGCACTGGGTCGGGGGGTCCCTATGGGCTTTCATGCAGCCTACCAGGGCCTCAAGGCGCACGGGGCTTCATGGGCCAAACGGGCTTTCATGCAGCCTCCCGGGGCCTCCATGCTCACTGGGCCTTGGGAGGCCCTACGGGCTTTCACGCGGCCTCCCAGGGTCTCCATGCGCCCAGGGCTGGAGGGCCCTACGGGCTTTTGTGGGGCCTCCTACAGCCTCCGGGTGCATTGGGCTGGGGAGGGGGGCCTACAGGTTTTTGTGTGTCCTGCAAGGGCATCCAGCCATAGGGGGCTGGGTGGGCCCTATAGGCTTTCATGCTGCCTCCTAGAGCATCCATGCACACTGGGCCTGGAGGTGCTATGGGCCTTCATTGGACTTCCCAGAGCCTCCGTGTGCACTCTCTGCCGGGGGGGCCCTACGGGCTTTCGTGCAGCCTCCCAAGGCCTCCGTGTGCACTGGGCCGGGGGTGCCCTACAGGATTTCGTGCAGCCTCCTGGGGTCTCCGTCCAGCTGGAACTCTAGCCTAGGTGAAAGATACCCATGTAAAAAGCGTTAAAGCTATTCATTGTATTGATGAGAAAAGCATGAAATGCTGCATCTGGATTCAAAATTGATGCTGTAATATCTAAGAGACTTCTGTGTACATAGTAGCCTCCCTTATGATCTACCAAGATCATTTAGGAATGTGGCAATGGAAAATCTATTTTATTTCCAGCACTTGTTTTTGGCTTTCCTCTGTAACAAGCCCACTGTACACCAGGGCCTCCTTTGAGCTTAGCATTAGGGAAAAGGACGTGTGACATAAATTAGAATCCAAGCAATTATAACACAACATCTGGAAGAGTTCTGGGTCCTCCGATTGCTCCCTCTCCTTGTACTATCTCATTATTTTTATGGCCCACCTGTGAACCAATTTATCCCCATTACTACTCAGCAGAAAAAAAAAGTTATGGGACAGTTTTATTTTTTTTTAAATGAACTTTTATCCCTTTGCATGCCCATAAGTCCATGCTATTTTCTCTATGCCTTGTGGCAGGACTCTGCACGCAACACGACGGGTATTCGACCTGCACGAAGCAGCTCTCCCAACTGTTGCTGCTTCATGAAAGACCAAGCGCGCAGAATCCCCCTTAAAGCCAAACATATTGCTCAGCTCCCGCGAATCTTTGAGCCCCCACGGCCTCGGCACGAGGGACGCCGCGGGGAGCGCCGGCCCGGGGAGGGGGCGGCGCAGACACCCACTGGAAGGCGGGCGCCAGGCTGCCCGCGAGCCGCCCGCTCTCCTGGGGCCTGGGTCGCG